CCCCAAAACCCCAAAACCCCAAAACCCCAAAACCCCAAAACCCCTGTGGGGTGGGTGGTGGTTGAATTATAGTTAATTTGGGTATTATTCATCATGGTCGTAATTGTGAGAGAACATTTTGCTGTCATTTTTACTATAGTTCTTGCTGTCGGTCTTTTTTTCGAGTTTTGGTTCGATGCTGATGTCCTCCAAGATTTTTGTGAGATCTTTATACATAATTTAGAGATGACAGAGAAGAGCATGCTTTTGCGTTATGTGAATTATTAATTATAAAATTTCATTTCACCTTATTCATGAACTTAAAATAGAATACAGATAAAAAACAATTCACTTTATCTAAATTTTTAAATAATTAAAAAATTTAATATTTTTTCTTCAAAAATTTAACCTCAACTTCAAGCCTAATTTCACCAACCGAAACTCAACTTCCCAAGCTCTCTCATCAGCAAGCTTATGCTTATTTTCAACCATTAATAAAACTACATTCTTATAATCCCTCTAAACTACCTCTAGCTTACCTCCATATCGATCTTGGTCTCTACTCTTATCTGTAATCATTCTTTCCTTCGTTTCTTCATTAAGAGCTGTCCTTAATCGTTCCTCTGTCTGCAGGTTGTCTATAAGGCTTAATAAGTCCACTCGGGTTGAGGAATATAGCAATGGCTGATTTGCAATAATAGCTCTCTTTTCAGCTTCCTACTCATAATTTAATGAAAGCTAATAATAAAGTAAATACTAAATTATTCTTATGAATTTTACAAGTAAATATAAGTTTGGACACTTAAGATCTCCCATTTTCAGATAGGCTCAATTCTCATTAAAATTGATAGAATAAAGATTAATTACAAGAAATCTCATTAAAGACTCAATGATAAAAATATCATTATTGGTCCAAAATATAGTAGCTTCGTTCATAGCAATAAGCTTTTATCAAGCTAAGTCAAATTACCTGCTCGATCAGTTCCTTCAGATTGGAAGTTAGGAACATCCTGAGGAGTGGCTAATGGGTTTATTCTCAATTCAAGCCAATAATGCCCTGGCATGAGATACCTAAAATGTTAGATTCCAAAGGATCTATCAAAGGTTACCATTCCATTCCTTTGTTGGCAAATTTTGAGATATTCAAAGCTTCAAGATATTCAGGGACTTCCTCCTGGACCATATCCTCAAAAGCGACTATCTGGGGTTCAACTCCGATAACATTAATTATGGTCACTGTTATGATGAGTAGCATGCTGATTAGGCATAAAGAGAAGGTGACAATGGTATATGCCATCCCATATTTTGGAATATAGAAAGCCATAATTAAGAACGCCAGCATTATGATTGCACTCAGTATGATCATATTAATCTGATACCAAGGGGTTGTCTCTTTATCTGCCCTTCTCTTATTTTGAAAATAGATTACCCATAATCTTATTAACAGTGTCTAGAACAGAATTAATTCAGATAAATACTGAAAATATCTAAAGCTTACTTATAATTTGATCAAATTCTTGTTTATGGATAAGGCCAGCTAAGAAGAACTCGTCATAACAGTCTCTTAAAAATCCTGCTCCCTTTGCATTGCTTGGAATAATGATCAAATTTGATTTACTTTCTGGAGGAGGGAGTTGCTCCATTATTACACCACGTGTGAAGTAATTATTACTCGTCAGTTCGTCTATCTTATCAAGGTAATCTCTATGCCTTTGCTCCATTTTTCCACTAGTTGAAGGGATGACTTTCATTTCTACAATTTCTTAATATACAATAAACTTTATTTTAAACGGGGTTTTGGGGTTTTGGGGTTTTGGGG